GAAGGAGGACCCAGGGAAATACAGGCCTGCCAGCCTTACTTCCATCCCAGGAAAGATGATGGAGCAACTCATTCTAGAGGTCATCATCAAGCAAGTGGAAGAAAAGAAGGTTATCGGGAGTAGTCAACATGGATTCACCAAGGGGAATTCATGCCTGACCAATCTGATAGCTTTCTACGATGGTATGACTGGCTGGGTAGATGAGGGGAGAGCCATGGATGCTGTCTACCTTGACTTCAGCAAGGCTTTTGACAGTGTCTCCCATAACATCCTCCTAGGGAAGCTCAGGAAGTGTGGGCTGGATGAGTGGCCACAGTGAGGTGGACTGAGAACTGGCTGAATGGCAGAACTCAGAGGGTTGTCATCAGCAGCACTGAGTCTAGTTGGAGGCTGGTGACAAGTGGTGTCCCCCAGGGGTCAGTACTTGGCCCAGTCTTGTTTAACTTCTTTATCAATGACCTGGATGAAGAGTTAGAGTGTACCCTCAGCAAGTTTGCTGATGACACTAAACTGGGAGGAGTGGTGGATACACCAGAAGGCTGTGCTGCTGTTCAGCGAGACCTGGACAGGCTGGAGAGTTGGGCAGAGAGGAACCTGATGAAGTTCAACAAGGGCGCATCAGGAGGAGTGTGGCCAGCAGGTCGAGGGAGGTTCTCCTTCCCCTCTACTCTGCCCTAGTGAGGCCCCATCTGGAGTACTGTGTCTGGGCTCCCCAGTTCAAGAAAGATGAGGAGCTACTGGAAAGAGTCCAGCGGAGGGCTATGAGGATGATGCGGGGACTGGAGCATCTCTCCTATGAGGAAAGGCTGAGGGAGCTGGGCTTGTTTAGCCTGAAGAAGAGAAGGCTAAGAAGGGACCTTCTAAATGCTTATAAATATTTTAAGGGTGGGTGTGAAGAGGATGAGGCCAGATTCTTTTTTCAGTAGTGCCCAGCGACAGGGCAAGGGGCAACAGCACAGACTGAAGCACAGGAATTTCCAGCTGAACATGAGGAAGAACTTCTTTACCCTGAGGGTGACAGAGCACTGGAACAGGCTGCCCAGAGGGATTGTGGATTCTCCTTCTCTGGAGATACTCAAAACCCGCCTGGATGAGATCCTATGCATCCTTCTGTAGGTGACCCTGCTTTGGCAGGGGAGTTAGACTAGATGATCCACAGAGGTCTCTTCCAACCCCTACCATTCTGTGATTCTGTATCATCCCCCGCCCCCGCCTGAGAAACTGAGTTGTAGAGGAATATTTGCAGAAGGATTCACTTTGGTGTTTTGTTTTCTTTTGTTTGATGTGCCTTCTAGGTGCATGTAAATACTGATTAACGTGTAAGACCCAATGCTGTACACAGCTGCCTTCCTTATAGGTCGGTGATGTGTTATGGTTGACTCCTGAATGCCTGAAGTTAGAACAGTGAGGTGTACTTCTTCAGCTGCATCTGATTTAAGCTGAGATCTAGTCATCCACCACCTGCTTTTCATTGCCCTATTCTGCTACCGGAGGTTATCTCTTCTTAAGTTTGTTAGGAAAGAAACATCAATAGACACTCCCTATTGATTTCCTGTCAAACTCAGTAGTGCGTAGTATGCATTTTAAAACACATGTTGTATCAAAACTGGTTTAGTTTTAGGGGACAGTTACACCTGTTCGGTTCTGGAAGAAGTAAGATGGAGGCAGAATAGGCGCAATTACAGGTAAATGGGGAAATGGCTTCCTGAGCAGGTGAAGTTTTAGTCTAAGTAGCCTTTCTGGTGACAAACACCTGAACCAGGAATTGGTGGTACATTTCACAACTCATTCTTGCTTGTCGCTAACTCTTCAGTGTTCAACGAAGTTAATACTTTACGTATTTTTACGTATTCCTATTCCTTTTGTATCCATTGTTTCTTTTTATTTATGCACAAAGTCTATTTATTATATTCTGTTCAATGCAGATGAAAACAATTTTTTCCCTTGGACATAAAAAAAAAAAATATTCCTTTGTTTTCCAGCTGGTAATTTCTTGAGGTTCTTGCTGATCTTTCCATTTTTAAATACCATGTAATCTCCATCCATATGATTCTGCTTTTTCAGCAGTAAGATTTAGAGCATCACTTGTTCACATGAAAGACTTATCTGTTTCTTCCCTTGTACCTGTATGGATAAAGCATTGAGTGTTTTGTTGAGTTTTCCTTTGCTTTATGTTGACTAAATATGCTACAAGTTAATAGAAGGATTTTGTCCAAAGGGTGTCATTTCTGTAATACGCTTTTTTCAGAAGTGAATCACTTTTTTATTATGTTATTTCTGAAAAAGCTTTCATGCAGTTCTGAAATTTTCCTAGCTTAGCTTTGTTTCAAAGACAAATTGGTTAGTGCAGAGTTAAAAAGTGATTTATTTTTTTTTTTGTGCACTTGGAAAATGTAGTATTTCACCTACTAAAGTAAATATAACAATGTTAAGAAATTTGGCTTGCTAGTCCTTTTTTGCAAATAAAAATATGTTTGCTTTATGTATTTGTCTTAAAGTCTGAGCATGTGCAATCAATGCATTGTTAATCTGTTAAATTATTTTGGCATATATATTTAACATCTGCAAATATTTTGTATTGAAACATGGACTGCAGATGTTTAGTTTGGTTTTCTTTTGCCTCCTGTTTCCCACTTAAGTAGCTGCGTGCTGCGGTAGGTAACATCTTCATGAGAGGGAGGGAAGGAAGTAAATTTTAGGGCAGGTGAGACCTTGTCTCTCAGTATAAAAAGGAATCAGAGGCTTTGTGAAAAAATTGCAAAGTTGGGGAACGTGGAACAATTTCCTGCATGGGACCTGCCCTCACTTCCTTGTTCTGTTTTTGTGAGAGGGAAGTTGGCCCATCCCTGCAGCTGTTGTACAGTAAACTCAAGAAATGTTACTGGGTGCATCATATGCTTGAGAACTGCTGCTCCCTTCATCTTAGTAATGTGCACATTACGTTACCGAAAAAACATTGTGGTTTATCTCTTCTTCACCTTACAAGAATTTTGTAAATTGTGTTTTCCATGCTATCCAGTGGCTGTATTTATTTCATCTGACAGTTCACATCAAATGATACTGAGGGTGGTGTGTTTTTACGTTCGTTTTTATTGCACTTAATTTTGTAGTCACGACTAGCATATGCAGAAACACAGAAAGTTGGGTGGTACATTACTAAACTCTTTAGCTGTCCTGTATGGTGGTTCTTTTCGTATGCTTACAAATGCCTCAGTAGCTTGCCAAGACATATTTGTTAATCTTTTGTTATATTTTAAAGTTTGACTCATTAATATTAAAATATAACATGTAGAGCATATGTGTGAAAACTTATGAAAATTATTTAACAAGTTAAAGGTCTGAAAAAGGCCCTCAAGTCTTTTTTATTACTGGCTGTATTCTCTTCAGAAAATTAGATTGCCGCTTTAATGTTTGTGATTTTTAGGTTTGTTGGAACCTTGAGTCGTCCCTGCTGTTTCTGAGCAGGACTTTAATAAGGAAGCCTTTTAATGTATTATGAATCTCTAAATTATTGTAGTTGTTTTAACCGATTGCTAGACCCATGGTAGTTAGAAACAGCTAAATCTGAAATTCAATTCAGTTACTGTGAGGGAGTATTGAAGAAGCTGACAGTGAACTAGGTACTTCTCTGATCTACACTGCAGAAATCAAAGGAAGTAACAATCATCATTAGGATTACCAGTTCTCAATACGTAGTATGATGATACCTATTACTGTAGTATCTGATCATTACAAAACAAATGATTCAGACGGGCAAAGCTTCTTGTACAGAGTGCGTACTAGTTCCTTTGTCTTCCCACCTGGGTAAGAAACTAAATCCCAGCACTGACTTTCTAGAATCAGAGAGGGCATCCCAAATTCCAGTTCAGTACAGCAGTGACAAGGCCGTTCTTGTCATGAGTCACTTTCACAATACCAAACTTTTAGTGCTAATAGCTTAGGGTGAGAGCTAGGTAAGGTAGTTCTAATCTTCAATCACTTACCAAAGATTGGGTGATACATGTTATCCTGTGGCACTCTATTGGTGTGTCCAACCTTAGGAAAAGTCCTTAAAAATTACAGTTAAGAATTAATTGTATTTAGATGGATAGTGAATATATTCAGCTCTCCAGTTAACGTGGTCGCTCACCCTCCACAACCCAAAGTGTCATAAATGCAGGTGGCTGCAGAGATTAGTATTTCTTCATCGCTTGCTAACTATGATTTTAAAAATACCATAGTTTTTATTATAGTATTTTACAACAAAAGGGTGAAAGCAGGTTGTTGGAATCTTAAATTATCTTTTTATTATCTTGAACAAATACTGTGCTGTTATTTCTGTTTTTCTGGATCGGTTCTGACACAGGCAGAGACATGGTACATATCCTTTCGAAACAATGTTGAGATTGCACTGTTACTTGGAAACTTTGCCCTCAGGAAAAAACTTGCTTTCTGCAATTGTTTGAGCTCCAGCTTCATGGCTTCTTTCAATATGTAGGCTACAAAGCCTCCTACGGAATTGGGACCAGACCAGCACAGATTGACAACCTAAATTAAACTTAATTCTCTCATGCAGTTTAGGCCTCTTTTTCAACATTGTACCTGATAGAGCAGTTTTCCAAGAATGGTTCAGATGTTTAGATTAAGTAATTACTCCTTTGCGTGACTGAGAGTGATGAACTGAAGGGCTTTGTTTGTACTGAAGCATTCTTATGTTTCTAAAAAACATGCAGATCCTTTACCATGGCAGATACTTAGGGTGTTCTTGAAGGAATTGTCTTGATTAATTTATTTTAATCTGTTGATTTGGGTGGCTCTCTCAGAATTGTGCTTTAATGAAAGTCTGCATTATGCACAGCTCCATCAGATTTTAAATTACTTAGTTTTCTTTACATTTTCCTAGGGATTGAATAATCCACATGTATTTCTTGTTTTGTTTTCCCCATTATTTCTTACATTTAATATCCTGTCTATCTGCATCTTCTAAGAGTCTAACATACTGCCTTGATGATGCATCCTAGTTTCTTCTTGTGTTCTCAGACTGCTTTTCTCAGAAGTTTGTTCTGAAGGTTTGTTCTCTTCTTGCACCTCTTTGCTTGGCATGGACCCCCTGAATGTGATCTGAATGCTCCTATAGCTCATTAGTTGAATTTTCAGGTACTACTTCTTTCCTTACACTAAAACACCAGAAAATTGAACACTCCTTCTTTTAGGAATTGCTCATACATGGACTATACTCCTGAAGAAGCAAGCCAACCACTTGCAAAAGATTACTCAGATATAACTTGTATTTGTCTTATAAAGGGGGAATTTACTTGCTGCTTTTGGAAAGTCTGAAAGGGTGACTGATACCTGCTTAAACTGTGTCTAATTTAGTACAGCTATCTTTGAGCATAGGTCTTTAAATTACACACACACACCCCCACCCTCCGCAAGGTGTTGCTCTTGATCTGCTGCTCTCTTTTTGCTGTTGCAGAGTGATCCCATACATTTGTGAAAGCAGAGGACTGAAAAGATCTAGGTGATGTCAGCTGATGGCTATAATCCTTCTGTAACAAGACCAGCTATTTACCAAAACCTTCTAACAACTCTAGTAAATAAAACAGAATCTCATTTGAGATTTCTGAACGGCAGCCTTGTTGTTTGGTGGACTCTCACAAAACTGCAATATACAGCCCAGATCCTGTAAAGTTTTCTGAAATGTAGCAGAGCTTAGTCTGTGGGTAGGAGTTTATAGTTACTCTTCCAGTTGTGTACATCTTCCATCCTTTCTGCTTTTTGTGATTCAAGGTCCTGTAGTCCTGTTTTGCATCTAGCACAAGTAGCTGTGGATTCACCAATAATAAAGTGAATGGCTCAGCATTGAGGGTGGTTTTGGGTTGCAATTAATCTCCTTAGAGCCATGCAATGTTTATAACAAACTACAAGATTTTAAAGATTTCCTAAATCAAGCAGTTCTTATCCAGGAAAGACATAAAGTCAGAAGTGGATTTCCTTCCCTCCCCCGCCCCCGACTTTTGCTTCTTGATTTTTGACCATTCTGAAGAATGGACTTGGATCATAAATTCCTTGAGAGTTCCTATGTGTGGCTTCTTCCGGAGCCTTCTCTCTGGTTTGTTCTGCACTATTTCTGAATCAATTGGTAAGAAATTATTTATAATCTCCAATTCATCTTATCAGGTGACCTTCTAATTAATCTTATGACAGTAAAACCAATCACTGGCGATCTGTTGTTGTCTAAGCAGTCTCCTGAAATTCAAAGTTGGAAAAACCATCTTGCTTTGAACAATGACTAGAGAGGCAGTATTTCTGTGCATATATTTCATACAGTGAAAAAATTCTGTTCTTTTCTCCCTCTTCCTCCTTTTATTTCCTAGGATGAAAAACCCCCCAAAACCAAACCCCGGATATTCAGGAAAAATATATGGCAAAGCTATGCACATATCAAATTGTAACTTTATCTGCTTCTTAAAAGAATGGGGAATGTGTGATGTCAGGTGTCACCAAACCTCCTTTGCTCCCATATAGCCATCAGCAGTGGTGATGGCATAAATAGCTGTTCTGACTCTGTGTTTATGCAGGTTAAGGTATCTGACTACTTGGAAAGTGTATCCTGTGGTTTGGAAACTCTGTATAGTACCTCAGATCATAGTGCTCCTAGACACACTTTTAAATGAAAGGTAAATTAATTCTGTGTAATGACAAATACCTCTCCTGTGCTGTACACTCACTTAAATGATTTTTGCCTGTTGCTGTTGCTCTAGAAGAGAGAAAAGAGTCAAAATCAGTGGTACTAATGTATAAACAAAAGGAAGACAGATTATTTTCTTTGGGATCAGAAAGATAACACAGGAGAACAAATTTTTGCTTCTAAAAAACCTGGAAAAAGTGAAGATAGCATCCATATATTGTCATAATATAGTTGTCACAGTGTACAGGCCAGTGACAATACATGACTGTACTTATTGTTGTAGATATTTGAACTTGCATAACTGAATATAGAACATTTAGTGATTTTTAGAAGGGACTTGGAAAGGATGTGATATATTAAAATTTCCCTGTTTATTGTAAGACAAGATATTTCAGATAAGCTTCTTATTAATATATTTTATTTTCTTTAGTTTTTTCCCCGCACAAAATCTCTTAGCAATGCTTTTACCACCTGGAGGCTGATTATAACTCCTGTCATTTATGTGTTTGGAAGCCCTTTTCAGCATCGTGACATTTTTGAGTGGTCATCAGGATGTAGTTTATTTTTTTTAACTATTGACGTCATCTGAGAGTGGAATAAAGTTGTCACTCCAACTAAATATCACACCTTCCAGGGAAGAGGTAACATTACAAAGAAACAGTCCCTGTATGCTTAGCGTGGAGAACTGAAGTTTTACAGTATAGGGCATGCTTCTCTCCCAGTGGAACTGGGAAACATGCTTCAAAATCATCTCTAATTAAAATTTACTATTAAAAAAGCAAGGCTTTTAGAGGAAGGTGTTTATCTTTCTGTAGGCCAGTTAATATAACAAACTTCCCAAGCTTTTGGTACTACAAAGACCATTCTGATCTGAAGCAGAGACAGTAAACTTCAAGCTAACTACTACTATTATGCTGATGGTGTCACCTATGTTTGCAGCTGTCCTGCTGGAAAGTGAAAGTGTGTGTGACAGTTGCAGCTCGCCTCCTTCCTGCCCGCCCCTGAAAGCTAGCCAGACTATTATGTTTCCTTTTCAACTAAGCCTCAACTAATTCTGACCCTACAGCCTGCATCCGTAGAACAATCACAGAAATGGGAAATGCTAATATGTGTCTTGGGAGGCTGGCTCTCCAGTCCTGTCTGGTTTAGTGATGCAGCACATTTGGAATGATGTAACTGAATGCAAACTCACCATGCTTATCCCAACTATTTTTGTTTATAATGACTTTTTATGCTGTTTGGAGTGATGCAGCTTAAAGAAATAGGAGTACCCATGTACCTGTGTATTTACCCCTGACCGTAAAAATGAGTATAGCAATGAAAAATATTTGGGTTTATCTACTCATTGGGGGATTTGAGATAATAATCTACCATCTCATATGTGCTTATCCTAGGCCAAGGTTTTAACAAGTTATGAGCAGATGACTTTTCTTGACTGAGTTACCACTTTGCGCTGGTATTCATTCTGTTTACGTTACATGTCTAGTTATCTTTTCCATTTGCAGAATCTATGAAGTGTTTGATGTATTTGTGTAAACAGTTTAAATCCTGAAAATATGTTCTGAATTAGATGCCATTACTGTACAGCAATACACTAACAACATTCTGAGATAATTTAAAGCCCTTTGTTTAGTAACAATGACTGTTATTAGACTGTTACAGAAAGTATGTTAACATTAAAAAAACAGCTTGTAAAGAAGAAGAGTTTTTGAATTCTAGAATTAGGATATCAAATTGGCACATCTGTTTCTGTCTTTAATTTTTCAGTGAAATGTTTTTCTATTGGTTCTTGAAAAAAGTGTTTCCCGTCACATCCGGCATTTGGGTTTCAGTTTTGACAATCACATTTCTGAAAATCATTTCCAGTGCAAATTTTGAAATTCAGGTTGAAAACATAAGGTGAAAAATTTCTCTTCTTTTTGTTTGCCTTTCATTTACAGTACTTAGGAGTCACGAGCTGCTTCTTGCAGCCACACTGACTGGAAACGCTTTATTTCGTCTGAAATAAAAGCTAGTGTTTTCATGGAATTGGATGTCTTCACAGAATCACAGAATAGAAATTAAAATTATTTAGAAACTTTTATAAGATCATCAAATCTGTTAATATAAACGGTATACATTTTCTTCCACTTCCCTGTATTCCCCACAATTACTTGTATTAGTATTTAGTCTCTATGGAGAACTCTTTCTTTGCTGCTGGAGCAGCCAAAGCTGTATTGAGCTGCTTAGTGTCAACATCATACATAAAGCTGTACATGTGAAGGCATAGGAAGTATAAATACAGGTGTAGGGTATACAATGTATTGTATAATTTGAGAGTGCAAAGGAACCTGCACGGGAGCTGTTGCTTATATCATGTTCATAACGTAGGAAAAATACGAGGTAATGAAACCCAGAAAGATCTGTGCTTATATTTTCTTACTCCCTTTATTCCTCTCTGTCTGTGACAGTTATGCTTCATTGTGTCCTGTCCCAAAGCTATTCTAACCGAGTGACAAAACTGTTGGCTTTTGCATGTTGAAATAGTTCCAGGTATGCTGTCTACAAGAGGAGTGCTCCAAAACTCAGAGAGGTAGAAATCTTCAGTTGGGAAAGCTTGTCTATTACAGGGATTTATGTGATATTCATGTTCATATATATTTGTCTTTCTTTGAAGTGCTACAAATGTTTGGTCTGTTTGTAATATGTTTAGGATGATTTTGAACTGTTCCATTATATAATTTCCAATATAGTTTGTTATATTCTTTTTTCCAGTTGTTTCAAGATCAGCAAATGAGACAAATATTGCCATGCCAAGGACAATAATTACAAATATTATCTCTCCTTGAAAAACAGGTCTATACTTTCCATCTGTATCTATATATGAAGTTTCTGTAGTCAATAGAAAGTGATGCAAGTTAACATGTAGCATTTGATAATTTGAATTTTCTTGATGTATCAAAAGCTGTTTGTTGTTATAAATGCTGAACCATGAATAATTTACAGGCACTCTCTTTATAATATGCAGTGTCTGCTAACTTTGAAGTTCACTAGTCAACTCAGAAGTTTGCTGGAGCTAATGATTCAGCAGAGATTTTTGAGAGATATTTTGTCATCAATTTAAAGCTTGGAGAGGTTTGCTGTTGCAGCCATCTGGTAATTCTTGGTTCTCTGGAGGAAAGAGAAGCCTTTTGATAAAATAGATCAAAGCATTCTGCTGTTTCAGTGACTGATACCTAGAAGTAACTTAGAAGTTTCTCAAACTGATTTCACAATGCTTGTCTCATTTGCCAAACTGTTGCATTCTGGTTATGATACAATATTGGTCATGAATTATATTTTCATTATATTTAAATCATTATTTAAATACTTTTGTTCAAGGATAATTTACAGATCTAAGTGTTTTGTAAACCCAGAGATTTCTAATTTACCAAATGTGCTGTCATGATTAATAAAATCAATGCTAAATCTTATTCTATATCTGTACTAACTGTGCAGGTAAGGGTACTCTCAAAGACAGTACTGCTATACCATAAGCCTAAGATATAGATGTGTCTCTCAGATTGCAGGTGATGTACAACTATAGTGTAAAACAATATATAAAAATATTTCTAGAACTAATTCTGTTAGCAGTTGGAATTCTGGTGTGGGATTTGCAGATGTTTGGCAGTGAAGCGTAAGTGTGGAGAGAGAGAGAGAGAGTGAGCTAGGACAGGAAGTGTGCACTGCAACATCCACTTGAAACGAGACCAATCGAACACTGGATTGTACATACACATTTGAGATTTTGTCTGGAATCAGGATGTTGTTTCTCTTCCATCAGACATTCTGGATGTGCAGTTGCACATGTCCAGCCTTCTCAAAGAATGAGTTTATTGCATCACAAGTGCGGCACAAACAGCCAAGACAGAGTGATGAAATTGGCGTTTACCTTGCAAGTTCTTTAGTTAAAGGATGTCTGGGTGAGATTTGGTGCTGTGTTACAGCAGAAGAAAGGGAAAGCATTAGATTTTAGTGCACCATACCTCTGTGCATGAGAAGAGGCTGTATTCTCTTGCTAGAGGTGAGTTAGTGCACAGCAGAGCTAAGGAGATGTGTTTGTGCCATTCACTCTTCCTTATATTAGAAGGAATAGTAATGACTCATGTACTGATGAAAGAAAATAATTAAACCTCATATGTCAATTAACCCTATCGAGGAATTTCAGAAATAGTTGATGTTTCTTGGGATGTAGCCTGTATCGTCCTAACAGCTGTATATAGTGTTTATCAATAGATTAGCCATATTATCATTTAACCGTTCAAAGTATAGTATTGGCTAAATGACAGATGTCAGCAAGTATTAGGTGGTTACCACAAATTCTTCAAACTTGCTGTTCTTCACATTAGGTAGTTTGGAGAGAGCAAAAGATTTCTAAAGAGGCTGAGGTTTTAAGGACTTAATAAATTTAAAGTGCAAACTAGATAACTAGTATGGTAGTAATTTCTCAGAAAATAGAGTGATAGGAGTTTGGTGAAGGAATAGCTACTTTTTCATATGTTAAAATTTGCTTGAACTCAGATGTAGAAGTATAATATATATAGCAGAAGAAAATTCCTTGTGCTTGTTATTGTTTAAACTTTTCAGTGAGCTATCCAAAATAGGCCTGGTCCTCTTGTTTCTCATTAAGCCCACAAACAATAGTATATCTGTAGTTTCATACTTCATAATGTTCCACAGTTTTATGTTCTGCCTGCTGTATCTCTGAATCAGATGCATATGCTTATCTGGCTGTTTACGTCCTTGTCTGCTGACATGTGCTTCCTAGCAGCTATAGTTAAGCATTTTTTTTCCTTACTTTTTTTTTTCAGTGTGGGAACTTTGCTGTTTTGGTGGATGTTCATATTTTGCCTCAAGGCTCCAGTAAAGACACCAGCTGGTTTTCAGATCATGAGAAACAGGTACAGCAAATATCAATTCTACTTAAAAGCATGTGGCTGCAGGGAAAAAGTTGGATTGCCTTGAACTGTGCAGAAGTTTTCAGTGTTATGAGAATATTATTAGTCATACCTAACTGTCAGTGGTTGCTGTGGGACCCCTAATTCAACCATATGTGCTTTTTGGGTCACTAATGACCGCTTTCAATTTGCCTTTTCATTTTTAAACTTTGTGTGTGTGTGTACTTGCATGTGTGCATGCTGGTTTGATTCTTCTGACTTAACTTCAATTTTAAAAACATATTTCTCATGAATGTTTGTAAATTTTCCTCAGTGATATAAAACAGATTGTGACAGGTATAATTTTTGCAGAGCTTGTTGGTGAAACATCTTTCTACTAATTGTTGTTTCTCCTTCTGAGAAGTGTGAATGATGTTGCATTTAGTGCAAGAAACTGTAATGACTATGCATGATAAACTATCATGGAACCATTGTATCTTGTGAAAAGAAACTCCCAGTCTTTATTTTTAAGTGTATCATTGAAGTGTATATCCTGACAACAGATGAAATTTTGGAAAATTAGTGCACGAGTGACCAGCAAAATTACAAATGTGACTTTCGTCAGATTCTGTGTGATTTCTACTACCATCTTGTGATGAGTTACAGGCGGGATTTTTTCCCTATTTCAGTCTGTGTGGGAACTTGAGAAGTTCCCTACTGAAAATGAATGCAGGACATGTTTCAAATGCCTGTGGACTTTCCCGCAAGTCTCCATTACGGTAATTTTCAGCAGATAGCTTTCCTAATAATGGCATAATTAACTTGTCACTGCAGAGCATCCCCATACGTCTCAATACGTTTAAATAAAGTTAAAAGAAACAATATATTAATATTGTGAGTGAGTGAAAGAGGAATATTTAACAGCATGTGGTTCATCTGATTTGTGCTTTATTAAGCAGAGAAAGAAGAGAATAGGGGAAATCTTTTAGACTTTTTTTTTCTGACTAAATGAATACTCATTACCCCTTCTGTTTATAACCAGTTTTACTGTCCTGGTTATCTGACTTTTAAGTGTTTTCAAAATGTATTTTGTAAGACTGCCAAAGCAAAAGATATGAATTTCAGAAAATGAGATCATGATTGATTCAATAAAGAGGCATGACAGGGCAGCATTCATTAGATTTCTGTGACCGCATATTTTGAGTGAAATACAAAGTTTGCATATTTTCGACAACTGAGAAGTGTGATTGCAGTAGCTTTACAGTTCGCTTCCTGAAAGTCCTGTGCAGAGTCTTTGGAAGAAAAAGGTCAATATGGACTTATAGGCAAATTATGCCTACATACATTTTTATGAGAGCTTTTACATATTCATTGCAAACAGTTTCCTACATTTTTGTTGTTTCCAAATTCTGGAAAATATTCATCTTGGTACAGCCCTCTTGCTTGTCTGTGGGAAAAGCAGACGCCTCTTAGACCCCTTGTAACACAACACACGATTTGTGCTGATCCCCTGCTTACCCTGGATTAAAGTTAGCAGCTTTGAAGGGGAGATGGAGCCCCTGTAAGGACGTTAGGTGAGTGCATGAGCAGAGACACTACTGCGGAAAAGGGATGCTGTGTAATGGAGCCGCTTGGCAGTGCCTCCGCTGGCACTGCTGTCCCAGGCAGCAGGAGGGAGCGGTGGTGGCCTGTCAGCTGCTGGGAACTAAATGAGTGCCCAAACGCATGAGGCTGGTGTAAGGAAATATGGTGCGTGTTGTCTAGCTGGGCATTGTGAAGACCACAGTTTGCACGCTGCTGTTGTGTGTTGTGTATAGAGTCATCTTGGGATTGCTGTGAAATAGAAATTGAGGCGTTTGGGAGCTTTTCTCTCTTTCTGACTTTCACATTTCCCTGTCCTTTCTGTCCTATGTCTCTTCCCCTGGAATAACAAAGTCGAAGTTTTATCTTTGTACTTCACAAAACATTTTTTAAACTGATTGCTATTCAGGCTACTGCTATGGTCTCTCTATAGAAGGTCTCAGCTATAAGGTGTTTCTAGTGGTGGAAAGTATGCAGAGACAATTCTCATGAAGCCTGCTCTTGTTTATGCTTTCTTAAATACAGGTCTATGTAGTTCTTTGTGGAGAACTATTTAAATAATATTTAATAAGCAGAACAACTAAAATATTTTCCATGTAAATTAAGGAAGTGCATGTTAATCTTTATTGTTGTAGAAGGAACCACATGCACACTACGTTTCCGCTGCTTTCTAGACCTTTTCATTCTAATGTGAATGCATAGTCCTGCGAAGGAATGTGTAATAACATCACTTTAATGAGTTAAACAGAAGAATAAGTAGATACAGTATTTTATAATTCTATTCTTCAAGCAGAAGGGAAAATGTATTTCGTACTGTAAGGAGAAAATACTGTTTGTGGTTGACGAATATATGTGCATTGCTTTCATTTAGAGCAATACTTCAAAAATTTGTTGCTCTGCATACTTTCTAGATTAATCAAAATTAAATTTCAAGCCAAGATATTTTAGTTTAGATGTTACTAATAATTTTGTCTATTGTCCAAACACTGTAAAAAGGTAAAATGATATTTTTGTGCACCACAAAGTATTATTTCTGTGAGCACATAGTTATGCACAATGGAAAATGAGAATACTGAGGGAAAGGTCTCAAATATGTGGGTATGTATTAATCTGAAAATTTATTCTGGTATTCAAGAGATTATTTTTCTGCTTTTATTCCAAGTATTTTTCTATGGTTATTCTGGCTCAAGGGTTTGTTCTTCATGAGTTGTATGTGGGTTTTATTGTGCTTTGCTGAAGGATAAAACTATAAAAGATGTGAACGGTTATGTTTAGGAGCAGAAAAATCAAAATGAACTAGAGAAATTAGGTTGCTGAGACCTAATTAGCTCTGAGTCCTTCCCTGCAAATTACACTGAACTGAACCAAAATATCTGTTGTGGTTTATAAGGATTATTGCAGGGAAATAGTGTGTTGACTATTCCTGGGAGGATTTTTACTAATATTCTGCTTAAATACCTAATGTTAAGATACATTTTTAACATCTATTTTTTCCTACTTTGCATACAAATGAAACTAATTTGCTGTTCAAAAATTATTAGTATTGTAATATAATGTATTTTATCTACCAAGTGAAAATTTAATAGTTTATTTCCTCTCTTGTTTTGTAGCAAAATTGTTTGATTCCCTCCCCCCACCCATTCCCCTTCATTTCCTAAATTACGAAATTATGTACTTCTCACTTCTATGTAATACCTCGGTACTTAATTGCAGATAATGGTTTTCCTTTTTATGTGGGAGTGATTATATATTGATTTCTGCTGTGTGTCTGTGGGCATATATGTAAATTTAGATCTAAATAGGCCAATGGTTACTCTTTCAGGAGGTCTGCATGCTGGTAGAAGAAGTTGTTGCTTCAAGGGTCAAACAGTACTTGGAAGCACCTAAACAACGTGGTCAATGGAAATCAATGGAACATGCATCATTTGGTCCTTTGTTTCTTACTGGTAAAATAAATTATTTAACTTATTGTGAAATAAAGTAAGATAAATTGTGGTGGAAACTGCTGTTCTCTATTTTTTTCATGAGAAATTTGCCATCAGGAAAGCCAGTGAGCCTGAAATAGCTGGTGTTTGGGTCTGAAATTACTTCAGCTATGTTATTGAAAAAATTGAGTTTTAATTTTCCATGTTATTGAAAAATGAACATAATGCATGTACTTTTAGTATGAGAGCCTATCATTAGAATTAAAATGAATAAACGGTATCCTGAGTCCTCCAAAGTTGATGGAAATCTTGCTGGCTTATTAAGTCTCCTTTCCACTTGAACATTTACTTTAGAAGTTTTTAATTTCGAAATAATATCTTGACTTCTCCCTGTTCTGGCAATCTGTTCAGTCTTAAAAAGTTATTATGATGTGATAATTGGCATTTGTCATTTCACTGGTGTTACTGCAGGTTTGGCAGTAGCATCGATGACCCTAGGACTAATTACTGTGCAGAGGAGGACAATAGTAAGAAATACCCAATTGGAACTTTTTTGTGTGTGAGATGGTGATGAGACTAATAGGTGCAATTTCAGTACATGCACGTTTTAAAGATAATGATCAGTATAGCTTGTGCTCTAATGTTAGATTGGCTTTGGGGCTAAATTACTTGCCAGTTTTTGTTTAGTGTTATTTCACTAGTTGATGTGGTCATCATGGTGGGCTTATCTGTTGGTGTTATATCACACAAGCAATTTATTTTTAAATAGTTTTTTGGATATAATGACTTTTTATTACCAGCCTGGAGCATGTTACAAACTTGTCACACCAACTTTCAGATCCCCATACTTTTTATTCGAAACACACGAACTTTCATATCCCCATACTTTTCTGATTTTGAGTGAACAAATAGAATTTTCTTAGTGAAAGCAAAGGGAAATTAGAGAGGGTGGAGTCAGAATTTCTGAGATTTGTTGAGGTTTTTCTGTGTTTTCTTTTACCAAGTGATTTTTTAAAAATTATTTATTTTTTTTAAAGCTTCATGCCTCCGTAAACAGTAGGTTTTCAAAAACAGTGATTTTGTAAGATAAAACTGCCAGACATAATAATTGTTTTTATATATGCAGACAGATGCAATGCTAAGGGTGTTTGTGAGATTTTAGGGTCTTATGTTTTCTCTGTATCATGAACTTTTCAGTAAAAATACTGATATGCTGTCCCAGGGTTGTGAGCCGATCTTCTGCTTGACTTTTCCTCTTATTTCCTGAAAACGAAAAACTTGAGGATATGCATTTGAGGAGGTCATCAGTAATATCTGTGACAGTTTTAGATTAAAGAATATTTACTTTGGATGAGGCAGAATTACTGTTCCATCAATTTTCTGCAGTTAATCTCACTTCATTAATTAACACTGAAGAAATAAAGGAAGAAAACCGTCTGTGATAACGAACGTTCATGTTGAACGTAATTTCCAAATGTATGTCTTTCCGCTTCTCTCAGCCTGCTTTGCTCAGGGCTGTAATTTGTAAGAAAGCAGTGCGTTGTTCAAGTCGAGGAATCAAGTTTATTCAAGTTACATTCAAGTCTGTTCTTACCTGAGAAGGAAATAACAGCGTAGGTGGGTGTTCACCAAAGCAACTGGGACCTACCTCTAAGGGACTGACCCTTTTAGGTGAGCCGCAAGTCTAATAGTCTTTAGCAGCTATCATCACTCAGATGTGACTCCAAAACCTTTTGTATTTTGCCTTGCTCTCTAGGATCACAGGTTCCGTTTGTAGAGTACAAAGATATGTTTTTGTGTTTTTTTGCAAACAGATGAAGTGCAAGATAGCTGGACAGTGTTTGGCTTACAGTGTTTTGTAGTATACAAAGAAATTCAAAAGCTTGGTATGTGGCTAACTACATACACATACTGTAGGTGCTTCTGGTGAAATGTTTAAGCTTGCAGCTATTGTTGCATTTGGAGATTATTAAAAGTTTTTGAGTTCTTCAAACTGAATGTGGTTTCTTTTGCTCCAAGCTATACAAGTCTGTGTATAGAGTTTCACTTCTGTAAATCCCCCCGTATTGTAAGGAAGAGTGTATCCATAGAAGGAACATTAAGATGCTTATTAGCTGGGTATATTTACTACTTCAGGTATCCTAGGTCAGCATTCCACCTCTATCTGAAGTTGCATGTTTTGCGGTGAATTTTAATTAGTTTGCTCTCCACGTTGCAGGGTGTATTCAAAATTCAGTAGAATTATTAGACCAGTATTAATAAGATTTTTAGACTACCTCTAATATAAAAACATGTTGTATTAGGATTTTCTTCAGAAATGGAAGTGAAGCTACCTTACTTTGATAAGCAGATCTCCTTCTGCTCTCTAGATCTGTGGAGCAGAGAAGACTGTTGTTAAACTGGCTACCATAGCTATTTTGAAGAGAAAATTTTCACCTATCACAATTTGGTTTTAGTATTAATGTATATTATGTTTAATATTAATATTATTTAATACTACCTTTCAGTTTTGTGGCACATAATATAAATATACATGCATGTTATGTGTTAATTTACATTTCTTTTCCATTTAAGTTACACCCACACAGCAGTGTGTGGTGGGTCGCATACCATCTCATTAGGAAATCTGTGGGTGTTACACAGAGAGGAAAGAAAGAAAGAATGGAAAAATAAGAGAAAGTAGCCAAGACAAGCAAGGTCTTCCTATTCTTCCTTCTGTCTGAACAATTTCTCCACCCCTCCCAAATGACCAGTATGAACAATTTGCCAAAGTAAGCTTTAATTTAGTTTTTGGACATAGGCTTTGGTATAAACTCTCCGTTTCCTGTGTTTAATTAATGTCCAAACGTGTTTGATTTTGGTTTGATTTTTGATTATTTTTTCAAGAGAAAATTAAAATAGGTTAGTTTTTCAAAGATTTAATTTTGCCTGTATCCAATTTTCTTGGCCAAACTCATGCAGGAAGGGCATCGATCAGGTGTGGTTCACTTGCATTATTTGAAGTTCAATGAATGTAAGCCATCCAATAAAACCACCATGTATTAATGAATTTCATTCATTAAAAAAACCCCGCTACTTCACTTTGCAAATGTATAATCTTTGAAGTTAGAACTTATGTTTTTATATGTATGTGCCATGCATTTTCAATTTGCACCACTTGCACTACTCAGTATCACATACTTGTTTTTGGTGATTATGTCAGACATCTTAGTGTGCCATAATGTTCAACTTCTATAGACTTAAACAAGCTAAAAGTAGAGCCTGTTTTTTCATGTTCCACAGAAGGTGAGCGTTTTTTATTAAAAGCGATGAGAATTAAGTAACAAGAGGCTATAAATAGGACCGAATGGAGATACTAAATACAGGAAAATGACAAAGGGAGGAGTGTGGAAAATTAAGGAAGAAAGCAAAGTTTACATGGGTGCAGAGGAAACAAAAAGGAGGATGCGGAAAGAAAATATGGCTGGTATAAATGTCCATGTTACAAATGGAAGGAAGGAAGAAGGTATCTTGTAAACTGACGTTCTTCTTGCTTTTGAGGGAGAGGGACAAATTAACTATGTATATCCTACAAGTAGTTTTCAGATCTTTTCTCATTCCTTCCCTAGCATCCTTGTTGTTTTTCTTGGCTTGGAGGTACAACACTTTTGCTCTGATTTCAGATCATTTTATTGTACAGTCTCTTCTACAGTAAAAATTAGAGAGTATGCTATCATGTGGCACAAAGAGCTCCCAGCTTGATTTTATCTGCTTTCTCTGGGATTGCGTGGGGTGTTTTTATTGTGTTTTTAACCTAGTTTGCTAAGGAAATGGGGCTTATTGTGATCATGTTTTCTTGATGCATGTCTGTTTGTCCATCCATCTTTTACACCAGTTGTTTTTTGAAAATGTGATTGAACTTTATTAACAGGTAGAAGTCTCAGACTTTAAATTTGCAGACATTAACTTCTGATAAGCTTACTAAAGTGAGAAACTGGAAGAAGTACAAGTACTGTTACGAATAGTTAAGTCTTACAAAGATCTGGAGTCAAAGTTCACATCTTACTTAGTATTAAAAACCACCCAATTTTTATTTTTCTTTATTTTTTAAAAAAGATGCAATTTCATAAGAAAATACATTTCTGTTGCTTATGAAACAATTTCTTTGGGTCCTGTAAGTACACAAAAAATGTACAATAAATCATGATGGTAAATATTCTGAACTGTTTTGGCCTTGCATTTAAATTTTAACATTATGATGTTTTTGAGGAAAACACCCTTTTCAGACTGGCCTAGTTTGCTTTAGGAGTGTTCACTACTACTGTCGAACGTGAATTGTGAAAGATGTTCATAGGGTATGTTCCACATTAAAATCCTGTAGCAGCAAAAGTGATTTATATCCACTCTCCCAGCTGTTAACTCTTACTCCTCTGCTGTGAAACAGTGTTTTGTTTGGTTTTAACTAGAATCATTTCACCTATCTTGCTTAAAGAGCAACTCCACAGAAATTTGATGGGCGCAACCAGAGGGAAAGTAAGCTACAGCAGATAAGCTACCACAGGAGACTGAGGAGGACAAAAGTATCTTAAATTAACTTTGGTGTTTGTAGTTGCACCTTGTAATTTCTGTCTCAAAAGAGTTATATTGCAGTTTCTTTACAATGGACTCATTTATGATTGGTGGCCAAGTCCTGCAGATCTTTGAACTTTAAACTTACATTTGTCTGTGACAACAGAGCCTCATAGCTCCCTGAAGTAAGCAGTAACTTATGCAATAACTTACGAAAAATGTTTTGATTACTATCTTGTACTTAATATTTCCTATACTTGCTTTAGATTGCTTTTTCCCATTTTTTACAGCCAGCTAATGGGGAATAAAGGCATCTTTTTTTCACCACAGCATTTTTCTTCTGGAAGATCAAGATTATGTATCTTTTTCTGATGTTGTTGTTCTCTCAGAGTAGAGGATATTTAACAAGAACAAAAAAACCCCATGCTTATGCACTGTTTCAGTATTTTCTTTTTAGTGATTTTTTTTTTCTT